TTGGATAAAATTAAACATTTAACGAAGCATCTAAAGGAAATGCAGACACAATTTGATAAGGAACGAAGTCAATTGCAAGCCCAATTCGAACAAGCACAAAAGCAGCACAAACTTGATATGCGGGCACTAAAACAACGCCTAACCAAATTGCGTAGTCAGATAGAAAAGTGGCACAGAGATCATAGTAGTGAACACAGTGATCATAGTAGTGAACACAGTGATCATAGTAGTGAACACAGTGATCATAGTAGTGAACATAGTGATCAGAGTGATCAGAGTAGTGAACACAGTGATCGTAGTAGTGAACATAGTGATCAGAGTAGTGAACATAGTGATCATAGTAGTGAACACAGTGATCATAGTAGTGAACATAGTGATCAGAGTGATCAGAGTAGTGAACACAGTGATCATAGTAGTGAACATAGTGATCAGAGTAGTGAACATAGTGATCAGAGTAGTGAACACAGTGATCAGAGTAGTGAACATAGTGATCAGAGTAGTGAAGACAGTGATTAGAGCAGTGATCACAGTTACATTGTCGGGAAAGTTAGATGATGGCAGCTTCAAATAGACTTGTCAGGTTATAGAACAAGAAGGAAACAGCAACAGTGATACTAGCGACTGTTTTTGTTGTGTTTTTTTTTCGAGAAATACATGTGATGATTTTATGCTGTTCTGTTGTATTTAATCATACGATGTTTTCGTTCTCTTCCTGTTCCACACAGCGCTGTGATCTTAGTTATTTCACAATCAAACTCCTAGATGGAATATCATACAATACCGGGTTCCTCTCTCTCTATCTAAGTGTACTCTCTGTCCGTGTATTTTTCCGAGAAAAGTACCTCTTCTCTTTTTACTATATAGACGGACAGTTTTTTCATGTAAGAGCAGTTGTTGTATTCATATCATTTTTAACACAAAATAAATTCTATTTTCGTAAGAAATCGATATTCAACTCAAACACAAATATACCATCCACTGATCCAACCTCACAATAGTTATCTATTGTGGTACGTTGCTTATATAGTTTTCTCTTACCTTAAATATATGAGTATATTCATATATGCTTTGTCACACTTTGTTGTTTTTCTGTTACTCAATTCTTTATTTCTCTTTTGTTTGAATATTTGTAAAATACAAGAACACCCACTAACACCCAAAACTATTCCAAATTAAAAACTAAGATAGCCAATCGATAGAGCTCGCCCAGTTGATTATACTAGCACTCATTTGGCTAAATCACAGCTAATGTTTTTGTCCCACTTTAAAAACAAACACCCACTAACCGTTAGTCGGTGTTTGTTTTTTAACGGTCCAGTTAAAGTTAGACTATCATCTACTAAGATATACTAAAATAATTTCCGTTAAATTCTGCACCTGCTACACAGCGATTAGAGTGTTCGGAGTAGTGCTCACAGTGATCAGAGTAGTGAACACAGTGATTAGAGCAGTGATCACAGTTACATTGTCGGGAAAGTTAGATGGTGGCAGCTTCAAATAGACTTGTCAGGTTATAGAACAAGAAGGAAACAGCAACAATAATACTAGCGACTGTTTTTATTGTATTTTTTTTTTCGAGGAATATATGTGATGATGTTGTGCTGTTCTGCTTTATTGATCATATGTTTCTAACGCGCTTAGAAAATCAGAAATGTGCATCTTGTAAAATGAAACATATTTTCTCCACGTGGAATAAATAGTTCTTTTTCTTGCACACACAAATTCAAACGCATTTTTCAAAACTCGCACTTTTTCAGTCTTTTTCTAGTTTCTCCTAAAAGGAAAAACGTTTTGAAGAAAACGGAGCATACTTTTGTGGAGCAAGGCAAGGCGAATCTTCTGGCGTATGAAAGAAGTCTTTAACTCTCATGGCAAAAAACTAGATAGCATTGCGTGGTGAGAACCTCAACGTTCGAGTGATCAGTGTTTGATCAGCTACAAGAGTTTAAGACTTGAAGAAAAGTCATCGAATGACAAGTGCCTAGATGTGCTTCGCGATGCTGAATCCGAAAATCGCATCGGTGAGTTCGAAAACTGAAAAGATCAGGAGACAATTGGGATTTTTCTGAACAATCGGTTTTTCGAGGTTTTTGACGCTCTCACAGTATTTTGAGGTTTTCTGCATGAAAACTCGGTCAAATGGAAAATATAAGGTCAGGTTCGTGATCAGCAGCGTCCCACGAATCAGAATATGTGTTTGAAGTTTCAAAAGCTGTTCCACCTGGTTTTTGAATTAGCGGCGCCTTACTTAAAACTTCTCTAGTTTTCAGTATTTCCTATAATAACATTTTCATAGCGCAATGAAAACTCATCCTTTAAGTGTAGGAATACGCAGACATCGGTAACTCGATATGCTCTACAATCCGGCGGTATTAGAACTGTGTTGTTGTAAAGCTGACCTTTAGCCTCTGGAGACCCGGATTTCCTGGATCCATCTAAGATAGTAATGAGTGCCGAAACGGATATCAGATTTGTGATCACGATCAAAACTTACCAATGAACAGCTATATTTCGCCTAATTTCCAGAGTGATACCTTAGAGTGTTCAGTCATTAGATGCTTTTTCGTCGGTGGATGTACTGGGCCAGAGTACTAACAGATTTAATAGCACTTTTTATACAAAGAAGAAAACAGTTGTAAGTTGTTTGTTTGATTATATTTTCCTAAAGTGCTTAGTAAAAATCAGAAATGTGCATCTTGTAGAATAAAATATATTTTGTCCACGTGGAATAAATAGTTCTTTTTCTTACACACGCACACACACACAAATTCAAACGCAGTAAAATATTTGACAAGGTGTGACTAAAATATCCTGTTGAAAAATTTTTTATTGAAAGAAATTATATTGATACCATGTCACTATTTTCTCTCCTCGGTCTTAGGAACGATAATAGTGATAAAACAGCCACTGTTATTAATATAAAAAAGTTTTGTGCAATCATTCTGAAGTTGATGGAAGAAACAGCTTTATCTTTCGAAAATACAATACAATATGCGTCGGAAAACATCAGAGAACAAGTTGTGGGTGTCCTTTTTCAGATTATTTCCTTATCTTATTCAGCCGACTGCTAATGTATCTGATGTTGACAGAGGGATACCACAAGGACGTACTTTAGGTCCGGTTCTGTTTGTAATATCCCATGCTGATATGCCACAAGGACTTCCATCATCTCAACATACCCATATGTATGCAAATGATGTAGCATTAGTTATTACTTAACAAATATTCAATGCACAATGATGAACAACAAGCATCAAATGAATTTCAAAAATATTCGTTCATATGGAAATAATCAATCAACTACATAAAAACAGAATATCAATGGATCCACAAACGTATAACAATTGCATCAATTGGCGAGATCAACATGAAACTGCAAGCACAAAATTATAAAATGTTTTGGTAACTATATTGATCAAAAACCATCATTCATTAAACGTGTTCAAAACATGTTGACGAAAATAAAAACTAATACACTAATGATAAAATATGTAACACAGTCAAAAACGTCATCGTATCAAGCTAAAATGTAAATTTTCAATGTCTGTATCTTGTCATATTTCCAGCAGCTTTATTCGATTTCGCGTTTGTTACCTGGATTCACAAAAGGTAAAACAGAAACAAAGTATAAACAGTTATTCTGGAAGTACTTGAAAAATATACACAATCGAGATAAATGGAAGTGTATTTACAAATGCACAATCGCTCTCCATTTATTCATTATATGCATACCGGAAGATAAAGTGCAACTGTGAAAAGACGGTTAGATAAAAGAGGACAAACATCCTGATAAATCAGTGTCATTTATTCAAGTTAAATTTTCGCCAGATTCTTACGGTCTTCAGGTTTCTTTTTCTTTCCGTAAAGCAGATAGTAGGGGTTATAATTCTACCAGTACTCTACCGTTTACAAATTGTCGACATTTTCTAAACTGTCTAATAAAGCCATAGAACAACAACATCATGAACATGACAGAAAGTTTTTTTTCTACTAGAGTCTACTACTAGAGCTTCTTCGTATTTTTCGCACCGTAAACAGAAAATGCTTATACTTTCTCTACTAAGATATTCCGGTTGTTCAACTGTGTCGTTAGTTATGTGATCTTTTTTATTAACCGAAATATATAAAAATATGATGAAAGAACAACTGAACAAACAAACGATACTAAAGGTGTATCGCAAGCACACTAAAAGTATGTTGTAATTAAGTGGCTCAAGCTATTCAATCTGTAATATGTATATATCCAGATGCAAAATTAAGTGAAGTGAAGCGTATTTTATCATATTTATCGAGATTGTTTTATTTGCTTTCGTTATCACAAGATCCTCTTCGACTATGAGCAGTTTCCGATCATGCATTATAATCTGTACGTTAATGATACTGGTGTTGACAGAACTTTCATTTGCAGCAAAAACAGGATGGCTGAGAAGCTGTACAGTGAATCAGGCTTCGAAGGTGTGAATACTGGATCATTCAAACTAGTGAGAATAATGTCTGCTTTCAAATCTGGAATGAGTTGACCGGTAGAATATTCAAGAGCTTTACTACCAAGTAGCCATTCAGAATATCAGGAGCTTGTCCAGGAGAGGTGTGTCGACGATAAGCACGATGTACGAGAAAAGCAAATTTCATCAATGTGAACATGTCTCGAGAATTATTGCATTCGATGGTATCATGTGCAAAGACCGACGTTTGGTCCTGCAGCAAGCATTTCTGATAATCGAGCAATACCGTTGTCGAGTTTTGAATTGGAGACTGGATTGTGAAAGATATTTGTTCCGGTGCTGGCCATAAACGATATTTCATGGCCATAAAGGTGTTTCTGTATCTGACATCAAGTATCTCGGTTTGTTGGATCCTATCAGATAATGGCTCTTAATTATCACAACGTTTATTATGTCTATAATGTTTATATCATCCACAATTTGAAATCAACAGATTCAAACTTTAGTTTGGGACTTTATTGTTGCACACTACGCTAAGTGGCGGTGTGTCTCTAGTTACTTCTCCCATTTAGCTCCTGTTTAATAAGTCCAAACAGAGACATTTCTCAAAGAATTCATACCGAACCTCATGGCTCAAATCTACTTTAATAATGGAGATGTGACAATTTTGTAATGACAAGAAAACATGCGATCTTGCAAGATCTTCTAAAACGTTGCTACTGGGAGCGTTGACTCATTCTTAGGTTTTATCATAAGATCATCCGATTTCTTCGCACAATATCTTGCAAGAAGCGATGAATCACTCTCAACCACGTAAATTTTGTTATGATATACCGCATATGAGTGAATTGTATATTAATTGTACAATTGGTTGTTTAGTACCGTTTCTGCCATAAATCCGTAGTGGTTTGTCGGATTCCTAAAAGTTTATTTTACTCATCTCATCACCTTTCACTACCGATAAAATTTTGAGCATTCTGTGTTTCCAGGTGACTGAGATACACGCATGAAAAAGCAGAAAAACGCGTTTTTATCTTGGCTAGCATGACTAAAAACGCGATTTTCACATCAAAGACAGATGATAAAGAAAAAGCAGACCAGTGGATCCTGTAGAGAGCAAAATTCTCTATCCATCCATATCATTTACAATTTCGCTTCGGCACTTTGGCACAGATTTTTTTGGAGAATTAAGTTTTCCGTACAAATTGTAGGGAATTGTAGGGACACCAAAATCAGTCTGACGGATTTAGGCAGCACTTAAGCGTAAAATTGATTCCACCATGAGATAGAGCATCAAAAACACTCCGGAAAACACACAAAAGTATTTTACTAAAAGCCTATTAAGTGATCCAAGAATGACTAAGTTTAGGTTTTCCACTCAGTTTGTAGGGAGAGATTTTAGAACTTGCTTTGCCCATAAGTCAATGAGATTGCATCTAAATTGTTTCAAACTAAATTCTTTCAGAACCAAAAGCAGGTAGGAAGTTGTATGAGTGGTAAAAATTTCAGCACTTAAAGTTGATATCTTCGTAGTAAACTTCGCTTTTTCTGTAGGGAGAGATTCGTTTCGAACTTTTTTCCTATTCATAGCTGTGCAGAACTGAGAAAAGTAAACTTTAATGGGCTTTCGAACACGCTCTTTCTAGTAGAGCAAACAGAACTACGTAAAACAAAAGCTTTGGAAGTATTTACCAATAAGCCATTTCGCGGTTGTGGTTTTTAGACTTTTTTCGAGGATCAATCGACCAAATATCTTTTGGGGGAAAACAATGAAACCTCAGACATCATGCACGGCATCTTTCCACGAACTAAGAGCTACGAAAGATGGAAAGCTTTATGCTAAAGAATTGTCGAGCGATAAAGAACAGTTGTTGAAAGTGAAGTTCTAAAAAAAATGAACAGTTGTTTTTTTATAGTTGAACCAATGTTTATCAGTTTGTAAATTTTTCGATTCAAGTAATTTCTTTTTTGTGTTTTCCAGTCGTTTGAAAAGCTAGAGACACACAAACATTACCACGTTGATCAGCACACTCGATTACCTAGGCTGCGACTCATTTTTATATGCGGTGGTTGTATAAAAACTGCAGAAAGTACGCTGAGCTATTTGTTGATCCACCAGACGGAGAAAAAATCGCAAAGATCCTCTGAAAGCGTTTTTTGACAAGAATAATTTCAACGGGTACACCACCTGCAGGTAATTTTTCCCGCCCAACTTCTCCTAAGCTAGTAGATAATGCTGCCTAGAGGTGTCCTGCGTAAATCGTAGATGTCTGTCTTGTTTCTATTAGAAATTATTTTGAAAATATCACGGGTCACCGCTAATTTAATACATTAGGAAATTGCACCTCTATTATCTCAGCCGGTAGACCTTTGGTAGTTTGGAAATTTTTACCTGGTACTCAGAAAATTATCGAAAATAGTCTGGTCGACTCAGATGTTTGATTAAGTTACTTACATTTTTTCCCACAAATTGTACAACTAAAATACGATTCACTCATATATACAACATTGTTCCTATCACAAAACTTAGAATTTGGTTCTTTATGTTTTATACAATACAATTCTATTATGTTTTATACAATACATAATTCTCACTTCTTTTACCAATGCTACAGAATTACTTGCTATACTCGTCAATATTATACGTCATTGTCGAAATGAAGGTTAACAAAGTACATACTCAGATGTGTCTCAACGACTTCTGTTGAACAATATGTGTTTTAGTGTTAGACCATGCCTTGGAATGAATCTGGGAACTATTTACTAAAAACCTGTGATTTTTCATATTAAAAAAACAACACCTTTTTTAAGTATTTCTCAGTAATCATTCTTCTTATAGAAAACCAAAATGCACCATTTTGTAGAGCTCATCGAGCTCTACTTGGACCAAGAAAGCTATGGCTTGGACTAGCTTCATTGATGAATCTGAGGTCAAACTATTCGAATCTGGTGCTGACTTTACCTACGTGAATAAGCTTAACTTCTTTTGCGACGCGTTGGTGATCTCTGAATTCAACTTTCAGATAATTATTTTAACGTCAAACGATACAGAATTTTACACTGTACAAACTGATACTATTTAGTTTTCTAGATCACATATAAAAAACATACTTGGAAAGTAGGGGAGCTAGTGTTTTCCAGTGTAGGTATCGAGTAAAATTGTTTTTGTTCTCTTTAGAATTCAAAATCTTCATCTTTCCACATTAGTTGAAAATCGGCTGGCAGAGCTTCTATGTGTACAGAGCTTTTATGTGTACTTTCATGTACTTTAACTAAAATTGACTCAGGAGAAGGAGCACAAACACAGTTATCCAGAGGACAGTGGCATGGATCACGTCATTGTTCTACCCTTTCATCTTCATGCGATTCTGGCCTACTACATTTTGCACCGCAGCCCGGACACTTGCTTTGACAGCCGAGACGCTGAGCAATACTTTTCTTACAACTTTCAAATGCTTGAGCTTTCATAAGTCTAGTGATTGCTGTCGTCTGATCTCTAATCTTCGTGTAATAATCAAGAATATTGTTTTTAAATCCTTTTCTAATAATTCCGCATCTTGTATTGACATTGGAAGTGCACCAAATAATGTAAAATCCCTATTGGATATTTCTTTACGTATTGCATTACGTATATGATCTTGAACTAATTTCGTACTCTGACAACTGTCGGTCTGAACAATTTTGTTGGCTTTATCGATGGCGGAGCTAATTAGCTCTTCTAAATGCAGCGTATGCATATGTGTTACAGCGTTCAGCGTTGTTTTAATTTCCTTTAAACTTAGTTCCATAAAATACCGATTGATATCATAAACATATTTAAGAATATTCTCACCATTGCCTTGACTAAAACTTTCTTCGTAGGCTTGTTTTGGTACAAATTCATGATTGATAAATTGACTGCGGACGATGTCTTCTTTTACATCACTATTTATTTTATATAAGAGGAGACTACCAATTTCTTCGAAAATTTGTACACCAGTTCTGTTTGCAAGATTTTTTCCCTGTTCGTATGAATCTTTCATTGTATTGTATTGTTGAAAAATATATTTTCTTTGCATTCTTGTATTTCTTTCGTTGAATTATATACATTCAACTCATAATTGTCATTTTCAGTTGCAATCGCTTGATCAATCAATATTTTTAGACAACCCACTGCCAAATCCATACAAAGTTTATAACGATTCAAGTGTTTATGATTATTGATGATAATGTGAGCGTTCATTGCATTCTCAATGTATGTAAAAAGTGTCTGAACTGTTAATATGTGATGCAGATAATTGCGTATTATTAATTAAATTAAGAATCTGTTCTTCTAATGTCATTATCAAACGTTGCCATATATGTACGAATATTTTCATGTTCTTCGATTCTGATTTTCTAGAACTAAACCATTCGATCTTGTCTTTCAAATCAGTCCATAATATGTTAGCGTCTTTTGTACAGATTGAATAAGGTGGCAATACTTTTCTAAAAATATTACCGGACGGTTCTGATGGTTTCTCTAGCTTTTCTCGTTGAAGCCAACAATAATGAAGTTTCTGATAGTATCCTCGGTAAAGATCACTAGTTAACGGTTCTAACAGATTATAAACAGTTTCTTGCGTTCGATTCGCTCCTTTACTCATGAGCTCCGAGTTATAAAAGTTTAGAATTTTGTTTGTTATATCGTTTTCGGTCGACAGAGATGACGTAAGGTCTTGACGATGCTGTTTTAGGACATCCTCAAAAAATTTACTCTGACAATTTTGTAATTCGTCCATTCCTAGAGTTTTGTTCAGATTAAACTGTTCTTGTGCAGCATCCATCAATTTTCTGTGAACAACACTGATTCGAGCTTTCTGTAGTGCTTTGTGTAAACGTTCGTGAAATTCTTCTTTCAATAAATGCTGCGTACATCTAATACGAGGTTCCATACACTTTGCAACTTTTTGTTTAATATCTGGTGGGTAGCAACTTCTCTCAGTGTTCGAAGTGAATTCAGCACGAGCTTGGTTCACTGTTTGAATAATATATACATCCAATTGTATTGTAAATTCATCGACTAAGCGTTTACGACTTACTTCATCGGTCATGTTCTTCGAGGTATCGGTTAGAATTTCATTAATTAGTTTCTCTACGTCTTTGTATACAGTCACGTTTTTTTTCTCCACTATTTGCGATGCTACAGCTTGTAGCTCATTCATAATTGAAAGTTCGAAGAGTGTTTTACATTCTAGTAGCTTAGGCCCTAAACCGTCGATTGCATCCCAATTACTAGAGATTTTTTCGTACAAGTGTAACATATCCACGTAAGTTGGCTCAGTTACTCACACTTGCCGTTTATATTTTTGAGACAGTAGTAGCTTGTTGATTCGGATTGTATCATATTTTACACTTTGTTGTTTTTCTGTTACTCAACTCTTTATTTCTCTTTTGTTTGAATATTTGTAAAATACAAGAATACCCACTAACATCCAGTTAAAGTTAGACTATCACCTACTAACATATACTAAAATAATTTCCGTTAAATTCTGCACCTGCTAGTACCATAATCAGCTATATAAAAATCCACCTACACAAAGTTTGGTCCATACTTAAAATTAAGGGTATATAATGAATTTCAAGATTGAAAACTTTTTTTCAAAATAGATAGAATTTTAGTAAACTGTTTATCTTTTTAGTTGATAATGGATCGGACAAGATGGAAATACTGGAAGAGCGACTCATAAGTCTTCTTCTTCCGATCCGCTATCATCGTCTTGCCATTTATGATATTGATATCGTGTAGATTTTGCAGGATCCTACTTAACATCGGCTTTAAGAAATCCTGTAGGATTGTATAGGACTTTTTAGGATCCTACTAGAATCTTTTAACCTGGGTTTCTGCGCTAAAACAAGAATATGTGCAAGCGAATCTTAGAAAGACATGAAGGATAATGAGTCATTTTTTCTCTGTAGAACGGCTAACTAAAAATACGCGCGTACCTCAGAGAATTCAAACGCTTGCTACAAGAAAGTCAGGCATAATTTCCATCGCGTTTTGAAACAGTTTTGGATCCTCTTTCAAGCCCTCATTACACTTTCGTTTCCTATTGTTGATTTCTGACTGAAACTTTTTGTGAACGTTTGGCCAAATGATCTTCTAGAGATTTAGTCCCATTTAAGGGACGGGATGAAATAGGAGCCCTAATCTACTCCAACTTACACTTGGCTGATTCGAAAGAGCACATATTTCTTATCGTGCTCTTGCTGTTGGTTCTATCTGATCACTGTGTAAACTACTCTGATCAGTCTGATCACTCCGATTTGTTTGTTCTTTGTCTCTCTCTGCTTGCCACTTTTCTTTCTCTCTGCGCATCTGCTTTTTATAGTGTGCTTTATCAGAAGCCATTTGTTGTTCCAGTTCGGTTAGGCGTTGTTTGTAACCGTCAGAATCATATGCAGGTTGAGACATCGACAGTATTGAAAGAATATGTAGCTTCTTCTTTTTTCTACCGTACTGCTGGTGACTAAAATTCTCTGCCACAAACTATTGTGTCTTGTCAAACATGTACTTCTTTAAAGCGAGTATTACACGCACGAAGCAGTCTTATGTTTTCCACGCGAATTTGAATTGAAAATCAAAAACAAAACAAAAATTCGTCTTTTTGTACAAAAAATTTGAGCTTAGTTTTTATCGCACGTTTAGAGTTTCTTACAGAATTGTTGATAAAAAAGCCAGAACAACTACGGAGGTCGAAAAATCGTACTAAGACCATGCAAGGTCGTACGAGAAGTAAGAAGTGATACGTTTCGTACTGTAGGATTGCATGATTTCTTATAGTACAATTTGGTACGGATCTGATTATATGACGGTCAAGTGTTTTGTACAAAATGGTACAGTATGATTCGTACAAAATCGTTTGGTAAAAGTCGAACGTGTTCGTGTCGTACGATATCATATGATTTGAGTGGATATCGTCCTCCTGAGATTATTTCTCTGCTTTTGCTCCGATTCATACCTGGAGTGCTTGAAAAGCTTAGATTCTTGTTTTATATGCGTTTTTCAGTGTCTAATTAGAAAATGCCTTGAGGCTTAATAAACTTCACATAGATTTAAAAGTTCACTGGACACTTTCATGAGAGAACAAAATTTACGAGAGAAAGAACGAATTACATTCCTTCCCTGATACTAGACGAACATAGCAGACAGAGAATGTAGAACTTCCTCTTTTCTTATTCTACCTTACCGTATTTACTATATTAATCTATCTACACTACCTTAACTTACGAAAGACTGACAATACTCCGAGAAATATTAAATTTACGTTTTCTAGTTCTTTTGACTTCTCAGAGCAAGAGAAATTTCTCCACTATCACTGTACGTTACCTTACTTAATTACCTTAGTTTTCTCCACTCTCTAAAAAAAATCCGTAGCTTACAAAACGAATATCGGTTTTGGCATTTGCTCCTAATAGAAACCGATATCCGTATCGTACAGTCCTGCATACCCGTTTCGCAGAAAACGTTTCAACGTTTTTT